GTACGGCTCCGCCTTGAACCGAGGCGAAAGCGAACGAAATGTCGCGAGAGCCGCGTCGTGGGAGACGCCGAAAGTGGGACGGAAATATCCTTGGCAGATGTGAGTCAAGGGTAGAAGGTCAGAGAGGAGCCATCTCCGGGGTGAACGACCGCTCGCGAGGCGACGCTGAGGGTCGTACGACAGAGGGAGGTTACTGCCGTCGCCGCCGCCGCAGCCACCGGCTGCACTAAAGCATTTGAATGGAATATTGAGGGAAGAGGCCTCGGATTGCCCTGAATGAGGGCTCGGCCGCCTGAATGGGGGGCGGGGGGCGGGGGAGCCGCGCACAACCCTCGCAAAACGTCCACCATCTCCTTGTCTCGCGTGCGCTGCCGACAGTCTTCGCTCGCTCAAGATAACTTCAATGACCTCACTCGACGAAAAAGTGAAGCGTGTGAAGAGTCAGTGTCGACTGAAAAAGTTCCCGTGTTTTGCGTAGGAAAATCTCTGGCATAAGAATACTGCGGAAAGGGGATAGTGTTGATTTCTGTACGAAGTACATATTAGCTCTGAACTCAAAGTTGAAGCTAACAAAAGGAAAAAATAAACAGATTATATTATCAGAATGTTTAAATTATTTTTGAAATGTTGTTTATTACACAGGTATTACATCGTGTGCTGATCAAAATAAAATATTTTTCATACTCAACATTTTTATCCTGGAAATTAATTTATTTCAGACAATTTGTTTGCTTTGTACTTCTATAACGCAGAAAACTTAATATTATTCGGTAATTTTATGCAAGAAATTGGTTGATAATTATTCATATAATGTGAAAAATCGTTATGAGATTCCTTTCTATGTGATAACGTTCTTTCCTGTGTCTCTCATAATTATTTAAAGCAGAAGAATGAAATAATAATGACGATTTAATGATAATCACAATGTGTTTTGATGGTATAATCTGCAGTAAATTTCTTGCACCTTGATTTGCTCAGGGAACGCTATCAGAAATTTCTTACTTATAATTTTGCACGTGAAACTATATCAAACTAAAATCTAATGTTATTTCTTCCTAATATCAATTTATTGAACAATGTTACTAGAGAAGCATGGTACATATGAATACAAGTATCAGTCCTGCGATAATGAAGAGTGGCTCGAAAGTGGTCATGCTCTCTATTAAAAATTACACAAATAAAATAATATTTTAAAATATGCTTATGAATACGCGTCAAGTGTATTTCGTAATTTTATTTCAATACTATTGACATATTAAAATTTAAAAAATAATTTGCAATTTTTAAACAGTACATATATTCCTTAAATTCATCCATTTTTCTACCAAAACTTTCAACATTATATTAATTAAGATTTTAGTAGAAGTTGATTTTTTCCTTATATTCACTATTTATATATTAATTTTATATTTCTTTATGAATATTAGACATATAAAGTACTATTTATCACATTGATATGATATCATTTTTTCAAAACTCCGCATACTTGAAGTTTTATAAATTGTCTCCTCTTAAATATTTTCTGAAATTAACCTTAGCAAAGATTCCCTGTGGTGACGAGGATTTTCGAGGTTGAAATACTCTATAGTTAGGTTTGCTAAAGAGGATGGGAGGTACTCGGAAGTCAATTGCAGAAAAAAAGTATGCAGGAGTGAAATGTTTATTAAAATGCAAATTACTAACGTGTGTATAAACCTCTTTCGAAAGATATAAATAAATTTTCAAACAGAAGAAACAACCCAATGAAGATTTATAAAAATGTAGTTGTCAAAAGGCAAAACTTTTGCAATTAATTTCAATGAATCAATAGAAAAATCTGAGAGAAACTATAAGAGAACAATGCATTTTCTCAATAGTTGTTTTTGTGAATTGAAGGTTGAGAGGGATTTTGTTATCAAGAGCCTAACTTCGTTGAACGGCCATTCGTTTGCTCTACGAAATGAAGTAGCTTTGGACATCTGAAGGGGACGCAATCTCTTTCTTTGGGAACAAGAAAGAGGGATTTGTTCGCTTGCTGCCCAAGCGTAATTGTTTTCTTCGCGCCGGAGGGAGGTTCAATCTGCTCCTCAGCTGTCTACTAATCACCGCCCCCCACGCCTCGCCTGACGCCGCCGCCAACGACGAGGGTGCACGCAGGTGCACGAGCGCAGCCACACCCTTCCCCGACAAAGGCACGGCCGTGACGGACGAGTCTACTCGCTCGGCCTGCCGGCTTTGCCTCTAGTTGTGATGCCCGCTTCCATTGCAGTGAGCCGTCGTGTCTAGGGAGCTTAGCCGCGTTTTACGGACACATTTCCTTCTGTTCTTTACGACGCCGATTTGGAATATTGTACCGCGGACTGCGACTTAATTTGAGAAGCACGCCCCGGTAATATTTTATTAAAATGAAAATAATATTATCCCAGCCGGATTATTTCGTAGAAGGGAGGCCGGAAATATTATGTGCGTTTTTGCCATCAGACTTTGTAATTACTTTTAAAACCTTCTCTGCATGACGTGTATAGATGATTCTCACCAGTGTTTAATGACCGTGAATTTATTTTGGGAGACACTGATCATAAGAAAGAAAATAGTAATAAACAATAACTTGATTTAATTGCATTTTGGGTAATAATAATAATATTTTTCACGAAGGGAAATAACTAATTTCAGAATTTTTGAGACAAAGCAATTCGTTCTCAATTTGATACAAATATTTATTTCAAATATATACTTCCCATTAATGGTTTTAATGTTCATGAAAGTATGTTGTAAATAGCAAAAACCTCTTAAAATGTTTGTCTGGTCGTACGACTTTGGTGTGTAATAGTTCCACACTTATTCCGCATACTCAAGTAATATGTGTTTTCGTCTTTCTCCAGCAAACAAAAAAAAGTTTTTTTCCGTCTCAAGAAACTGACCACTGGGTTTAACAATACCTTTCGCATCTCAAAGCCCCAAACGCCGGGAAAAAAAATTGAATCCCGCTCCCTCGCCGCCAGCCAATCTGCGCCGCGGCCGCAATCCGTTCGCATCGCGCAGGTCGAAAGACGCGACCGCGCGGAGGCGGCGATTAGCTGGCGGGCGGGCAGGCGGGCGTTGACCCGCGACGGGCTGATTTACGGCTCGTAAACCCCCGTGCGGGCGGCGAGGGCGGCCGCGAGCGAGCGATTCGGATGAAAAGTGCCGCACCCGCGGGCCGCGCGCCCACGAAATGGCGGCCCTGGGAACCGAAGCGACGCCGCTCCGCAAGCGGCCTCGCTCCGATGCCCTTTGTCCCTGGGACAGGTAGCTTAATGAGCCGGGCCGGGTGCGTGGAAAGCGACAGTGTGTTTGAGCCGACAGGGTGTGGCGGAATTGCCAATTTGCGTAATGAGTCAGGTTTTGTTTTCCTCGTTATGACGTACGTCACAGAAGTTGTGACGGGTAGCGTTTATTGCCGTACAATACTTTCGTTTGTTTTCGTTGTGTTGGTTATGTTCTTTAGTTTCTCAATTAAATTCCAGTAAAATATGTTGATATTTGCTGTCGTCACTGAGAACAATTATAACGATCATGAAATCGGGATCACATTATAGATATTGTTTTTTGAAATCAGTTTGCTTTTTTTCTTACTTTAATTTATAATCGTCACACATTTTATTACAATAAAAGTAATAGTAATAATGAATAACTTTTACCCAAGAGCAAAATGTATTATAAAATTTTTGTTATTGGGCATTGATATATAGAGAGTAAAAGAATCTGCATTTTTAAGAGAAAAATTCCAACAAGTGATAGCATAAAATTCTTATTCCTTTTACTAATAAATATTTGGTAGCTGTTCTATAAGACCGTATTTTAAATAATGTTTTAAACTTCAATAATTTTAGTTTAGAGAATATGAAGATTCTTACAAAAATAATTTATCTTCTTTTATATTTTGAAATGTTATCCAACTGTAACCGTGATTAATTTCATGCACAGTTGTTGCATTCGGAAGTGAGGAGGAGTGAGGAGGAGTGAGGAGGAAAGAATGAAGACTAGAAGCGAGTGGGCGGTCGCCTCATCCCCCGGGCTGCCGGTTGGCAGGCCTGACGGCTGTTGGCATTTTACGAGCGCTTAAACGCTCCCGCGGAGGTCCCCGCTCCCACTGCACGTCGACATCAGTGCGGGGATGGAGACGAGGAAGCGGGAAGCGAAGAGCGCGAGATTACGCAAGGCCTTGATCGACTACAGAATTTGAGTTTCTCGTGTTTCGTACGAAAACAAAAGAAGTCGAATGTCTTAAAATGCGTTGGGTGATGCAGTTACAACACCTCACATTGAATGGTACATGATTTGATATCCTTGAGGATCTTTCTTATTCGAAGATTATATCTCTCTCCTTCCTTATTCAATGTCCTATTTTTATTCATGCCGAGGAGAAATTGGAAACCATGCATTTAAAATTAGAAACTAAGAGATTGCTTATTTATTTGAATAAAAATTGAAATAAATGTGGTCGAAATGATGAATTGGTTTTAAACGTCTTTTTAACTCAATAATAAGTACTATCAAGCAGAAGAAAAATAATCGTATTTAATTAATGAATTGATGTAATTTGATATTTGCTAATTAGTATTGATTAAAATTGTCTTTTGAATAAATTTCTCATTAAACAATTTAATGTTAAAATTTTGTGAAATTCGCAGTAATTAATATAATGCTACAGTAAACGTTTAAAAGAATAATAAAGTTCAAGTAGAAAATCTTATTAACATTCAAACAAGAAACTCAAAAAGGGTAATTCAATTTAAAATATAGTTCTCTCTTTCGTATTAATTCAATGTGAATCATTGGTCCTGTTTGAACACGACACCTAGAAATTCGATTTCGGAGCTTGGAAATATTTGCAATACCTTCTCTCGTTTATTTTCGGCCCTTCATTTCTCTATTGCAACGGGCGCCACATTCCCGAAGTTCGAGCAAAAAGCAACTCGGGCCACGAGATTTCACGTGTCGGAGGCGAGAACAGGCGCGGAACAAAGGAAAGTCGTTACCGCAAAGTGTCGGTCCAGCGCGTCTCTGCAGCGCCAAAGTTGAGTGGGGCCTCCGCTGCGCCGCCACTTCGGGGCCGGCCGGGCGCCATCGCATCGCCCGGAGTGCGAGCACGCGGAGGGCGGAGGGCGGGCGGCGGGAGGCAAGCGGGCCCCGGAGACGGCCTGCGCGCGCTGTTGGCCGCGCGGCCGGGCGCCGGGACGCTGGCTCGCCGCCGCCGCCGCCGGCGAGCCCCGGGGCTCGGCCAGATTACATAATGGATGTCGTCCGCGCGTCGCACGCCAACGGCGCCGCCACACGCCAGCGCTCGCCGTCCACCGGCCGTCCACCGGCCGTCCACCGGCTGCCCGCCAGCCTGCCCACAAAGGGAATCGAGCGAGTTGCAAACATCTCGGGTTCTTCAGAACTAGTCGAATGTTACTGGAAATATCTACATGCATCACATGTTCATATTTTTACATTTTACTACAGAATTACGATTCAATTCGTATGCAGCGTTAAATATCGTATTTTCAAATTGAGATATATCCAACAAACACATTTTTCAAAATGAAAAAAAATTTCACAATCATAGCTTGAGAATTGTGACATGCAGCAGCAAAAGTACAGCAGTCAAGTGTGTGGAAAATGTGGCCTTGGAACAGCCTAAAATGGCTGTTCTGAAAGGGCACACATAAACAATTCAGCTTTTTTTACCTGCGAGTCTTCCTGAGTACTAACAGAGCCATTGACACAACTCAAATATGCAGAGGCTACTTCGGTTTCCATCAATTATTGGATGTTTGAAATTAGTAATACACTACAAATACGATTCAACACGGATACTCAATTTTCGGATAGCATTCGGATACAAAAAGAACTCAATTTTTATCACAATTTTTGGGAGCATAATGAACAAGCATCTTGATTACAAGCAATAGATTGGTTCAAATAACTATTAAATAAACTACAATATGCGTACCTTTGGGAACAAGCTGTTAGTTGTTCACGAAATTAATTTAATAATCTGCTTTAAGAATAATTTCGTGACAGAAAAATGTGTGGACATCTGAAATATTGTATTCAAAGTGAAGGTAGTAATAATTTTTAATTATCATAACATTCCTTAGGCTTTGGACCATACCAATAAAGGATAAACGCTCTTGTTCGGTAGGTGATTGTCATAATGTGATCAGAACCTGCCGCAAAACCGCATTTTCCACCATAAATTCTCAGTGGGGGGGGGGCGGGCTTCCAGGTACCTCCAGGTACAGTGGTGGAAGGCCAGTGGTCGGACAGCTACATCTGAGGTCGCCCCTCCTGTAAAAAAATAGATATATTGTGAATATAGACGCCGAAATCTTTTACAATATTGTGTTTATAGTAATGCAAATGTCTTAATTCATAAAAATCATTCATAACTAGAGACATTGATGTTAAAATTAGGAATCATGTTTACATTTTTATTTCTGCGAAAATTATGGACTCAATTTTTCTCTTTCAGTGCAAGTGTATAAAATTATTAACGAAGAATATTATTGTAAGAAATTAAGTAATTATAAATGAGGAAGGCTTTACAAAATTAAATTATGCTTCTCTTTTTTCTTCTAGAAAAGTATAATTAGTAATTTTAGTTGTTTAATTTAGCAAAGCTTAAATGACATTGCTTTCTGTAATTAAAAAAAATAGTTTTTTCCTTCAAAATTTTAAAACTAGAATAAGTCTGATAATATGAAAACATTTCCTGGTTATCATTCCAGCTACAACATGACTTTTATTTTGAACAAAATAACCATGAAATAAAATATAAACTAAGTTTACAGATTGTACATGGGAATTGTGCGTCTAGATCGCAGTAAGAATAGAAATAATATTTAAATGATGTATTTTTTAGTTTAAAATTTCAAACTACAAATTGTGTAAAAATGTAAAATTTTATTATTTTTAGAACATAAAAATGCGTTTAAAAACGAGATTATTTTCAATAGAATATTAACTATAATATTGGATTTTCGTTACTTTGTATAAAAAATAAATTTAAGGTGATTAAAAAATTATTACTGTTGAAAAATACCACTATTTAATTAATTTACGTTGTTAAGTGAAGAAGTAAAATTTGGTACCTGGATGACATTCTCTTTTGGAACACATTTGTTTCAAGACATCAAAGTATTTGTGCTAAGGTCACATGAGAAAATCCATTAAACGTGATTAAATTTAATATTTCATATCTAAAAGTAAATAATATTTTCAAAGAATACTGAAGTTTGTAAATGGTTATGGCCACCGTTATACTTTCCTTCTTATGTAAAGTTCAAAGCTTGTATTTATTTTGTAACTAATCTTTTTAGTTAAGGGACTTCAGAAAAAACTAGTTCATTGAATGTTCTTCCAAAAATTGTTTGATGCAGAAGTGGAAACCAAGATCATTTTAGTACCTAATTTTGTTTCTGCATTGCTGGGTGTCAGGCCACCGATGGACGTGAAGACAGGCTCGCGTGTTGCGTCCGAAGAGCGCCAAAAATCGAGGGAGTCATCTTACGTTTGAATAGGTATCTTAGGCTTGATAAAACGAGCAGCGTTAATTAGAAACTTGGATTTTTAAACCAGAGGCCTCCTCGATTTAAAGAGAAACGCTTGGTTATGCATCAGGAGAAGGCACGGATGCGAAAAGAAAAATTTGCGTCAGATCCTCGCAATTTTCCTGCCTTTATCCTTTCTCCTTTGCTCGAGAGGCCTGCTTTTGTCCTGCGCTAATATTTCTCGGAAACCGGAGGACCTGCGCGCTCTGAGAAGCAGGGTTGCCAATCTCGGGGGTAGATTAATTTAACTTTTGAAGTAGCTCTAAATGAAAGCAGTCTAGCTCCAGGATGAAGTTTTCCTTACGAAAAGAGCCACGAGTTAGCCCAAGTGAGATTGTGAAAGTTGCAGGCATTTTCGTTCCTTCCCCTTCATCAAATATAAAATAAAATGGCGGAATCTTAAAAAGCGCCCTGGGCGAGTCCCCGGGGCCTTCTCGACAGTGCTGCCACCACCCGCCCTATGCGGGTCTCTCGAACACGTAAAATTAAGTAAACAAATGAAAGAGAAGGAATGTTTTCCGTTTGTTTGAATGCGGGGTAATAGTGCTGCTCATTTGTTTTAGAATTTGTTAACCCTCGTGCGCGCGTGAGTTGTCTGGGAAAAGTCGAAACTTTCCCCCTTGTGTGGGTCCTAAAACTCCGCGCTGCGTGTGTGTTTGCCCGGGCCACGAGATTGAGCCGCGTCAGGCGTCGTTTGTATGCGCGGTCTGTGGCGCCAGTCATCCCCACCGCTGCATCGGGTGCCGCTAATGAAGGGCGTTTCATGCGGAAATCTCTTCGCCGACATGGCGCTAGGGTGCGAGTTAATTTCGATACCGTATACTCTCGATGAATCTGGATGTTTTTTAATTCCCAGCGCGCACATGTTCTTTCATTACTTTTGATGTTTCCATAGTGAATTGTACAGAAATTGGCTGGTATTTTTGCAGATCGTTTGTGCATGTTTGTGATTCAAATTAAAAAAGCTAGCATTCTGCATGAATTACAGTTCTATTTCGACCTATATATCAAAACCTAAATAATGTCTTTTTAAATTTTAAAAATATTTTAAAGGAATCAATACTCTCATTTTATTTCGCGAAATAAAAGTTTTCATGGAACAACACATTAATTCTCTTTCATGATGCAGTATTTGTGTTACCAACAAACCTAACACCGTTGTTAGTTATAAAATGAAAACTGAATTCTGTGACATACATTTGAAACATAATTTTGGCGCACTATTAAAAAACTACACTACGTTCATGTTTTGCATATTTACTATTGACCTCGAAACAAATATACGAGTACTTAGAGGGCGGCTGTAGCTAATGTTCACGGATAGTTATTATCTGAAATTGAGAACGAATAAAATTTCATTTCTCCCATTTTAAAGTAGACGTAATAGCATTAACTCACTCTTTATGTTAAAGTAATGACAAAAGAATTAACCTAACTCTTTATGATTGATATGCCATGGAATAATGAGAATGGTATGACTTTCGAAAGACAGAGATAATTGCTTGGCCAGGGAATTAGAGAATCTCTCGGAATTAGAGAATAGGTCGTCAAATTAATTTCGGATTGTTTCCTCACGTTCTTTCATAGATTGTCATGTGAATGATTTAACATTAGAAAGCATATTGGAAACGTTTCACGCAATGTGGCATCACGTTTTCCCATCGAAGTATCATTCGGTCGATTCGTATGCTTATGTGCGTGTGTGGACGTGAACCGCAACGAAAATTACAATTTTCTGTGCATCCGCACGCCGCACTTTGGCGAGGCGCCGATGACGAAGGCTGAGCTGGGCGCCGGGCGCAGGGCGCGCGTCGGCGGGTGCAGGGCCGGCGCAGGGCCGGCGCAGGCCACTCCGCGCCGCCAGAGAAGCGCGCTAATTAAGCCTTCTAATTTTACGTCGGCTGCCCCGAGGCGGCGCTGCCGCTGAGTTATGGTGATTGCGCGGCGCGGCGCGGTCGCGGGCGGGCGCGCCGACGGGGGCGGGGGGCGGGAGCGGGGGCGGCAGCGCGCGTGGTGACGGCAGGGCAAGGGGGGCGGGGGTTGGGCGGTTGGAGGGAGAAGAACCCGGTCGCCCACCTGCGCCCACAACACGGGGGCCACACGACGCCGTCCGCTTGTTTCTTGGAAGAAGTCGGTCGTTAAATTCACTACACTCGTGGTAATTAGGTCTGATGAGTTCTCCTCCAGTCAATTTGGTCCGAAATGAATGCGGGAAATTTCTCAGGCACGTACACGTGCTCAAAAACAGCTCCTTTTGACGGAAATTTACCATAGTATTGATTTCCAAATTTTAAGTAACGTTTTTGAAATGTAATAAAAATTGCCATGAAATACGACGACGTATCACAGAAGTTGCGTTTCGAAGTGAGTTTTGGGTGTCAGAACTGAAATAACATCACCAATATTTATTTGACTTGTTCCGATTCCGTATCTTGGAGGTATTCTGTTGGTGTTTTCGGGTTTGGCGAGGGAAAAAATTTGAATCTATGACCCGGAGTTCCCCCCCAGGCCGCTCGAAGCGATTCCGGTGCTCCCGCCGCCTTAGCAGCGTGAGTTGCGGCGCCGGGGCGCGCGCGGAACGCAAATTCGGGCGCAGGGGAGAATCCCCCGGGGCAGCTCCGGGGCGAGCGGGCGGTGGGGGCGGCTGAGTTGTAGCTGCGCTGGGACCGGGGGGGCGGCGGGCCCCCCGGAGGCTTCGCCCGCCCTCCGCCGTTGGGGATGAGCGAGGGGGGCGGGGGGAGGGAGCGGCGCTATTTATCGGGCGCTCACCTGAGGGCCCTACGGCGCGAATCCCTCGGGTGGGGAGGCACGCGGCGGTGGTGCTGGAGTGAAAGCAAGCAGGAGGTAGCCGGGGAGGAAGATCGACATTAAAATGATGGTTTGGATGTTGCTTAAATATAAACATTTTTATATTTAAGCGACGAGGTAGTTACGAGGAAATATAGAGAGACTGAGAAAAATATCTTCTCATACTCAAAGTCGCTTCCTTTTTTGTAAAAAAATGTAAATTGTAGTCTAATACCAATGGAATGGAATGTAAAATGTTTATTGAAAACCGGACATTGGGGGTAAGGCTTCTTTTATGTAGTCTCAACAATCATAATTAGACAAATTTTGGTCCTCAATTATTCATTTTTGACATAACAGAAATATCACGGAAAGTAAATGTACTTTCCTGTCACACTTTATTGATTAAAAAAATATGGATAAAAGAATGTGATTTTAAAAATCAAATTTCTCGTAGAAAAATTAAAAATAATTAAAATAAAGTTTGAATGAACATTTTCTTTTGGAAGGAAGACATTTCCGAAATATTTATTCTCCAATGGAAATGTTGTCTAATAATATATAAGGAGTTAAAAAATGTACATGTATACTTATACATTTATATTATATAGATTTTTAGGGTGAATTAACAACTACATTAATTATTTAAAATGCTGACTAAAGTGTTTGGTGTCGGTTTGAAAATGCAAAAAGTACAGCAAGGTCAATAGTAATCATGAGCCATAAACTGTAGTAATTCGTACAAAACTGAAATATAAGTAATTTTATACTACAATACGCCATTATATGTGTTATCGTAAACATGTATTTAAGGCAAATTTATTACAATAGAAAAACAAATGTTTTGTGTAATTTGTTTAGTTACAATATTATTAGTTACTCCAATTATACGTAATAATTGTTATAATATTTGAGTTTAATGGGCGGTTTTAAAACGTAATGAATTTTCCC